ATAAACTTGTTTTCACTTTGTCGGCTTGCTCTTTTTAAAAAATTTTATTTATTAATTTATTTAAGATGGAGTCTCCCTCTGTTGCCCAGGCTGGAGTGCAGTGGTGCCAACTTGGCTCACTGCAACCTCCGCCTCCTGGGTTCAAGCAATTCTCCTGCCTCAGCCTCCCCAGTAGCTGGGGTTACAGGCATGAGCCATCATGCCCGGCTAATATTTGTATGTTTAGTAGAGATGGGTTTTCACCATGTTGGCCAGGCTGGTCTTCAACTCCTGACCTCAGATGATTCACCCTCCTTGGCTTCCCAAAGTGCTGGGATTATAGGCGTGAGCCACTGTGCCCAGCCTTCAGCTTGCTTTTGAATTCTTTCTTGTATGAAGCCAAGAACCCACCTGGCCTCCTGAGCTGAGCCTAAATTTGAGGTTTGCCTGCAACGCTACTACTGTAATTGGGCCACTTGAGATTTTTCAGCATCCCAACATTTTTAGTGACTGAAGTAATGAGAATTCTGATCAGGCCCTTGCTTGCTTGTTCATGTTAACCACTTGCTTTTTGCCCAATACCCCCTTTTCCCACATTGTAATTATAAATGCTGATGTACTGTGTTGAGAATCATTAAGTTTACCCTGCCCCCGTGGCTCCTCTGTGGAGGATAGCTTTTAGTTTGTAATTAGCGGTAGAGGGGTAACAGCTGCCCACTTGGTATATTCTTGAGTTATGTGGAAATGTAGAGCACCTGTGTATTAATAAGAGTCATCTGTCAAAGAGCAAATAACTGCATGGATGAGAATCTGCTTGGGGCCTTCAGCCAGGAAAGCTGTATGCCCCACAGGCTCTCATGCTATTGGTCCCCAGGATAAAGCCACTCTGTTGTGTTGCCTGGGTGTTTGCTTCTCAAATACCTTCAGCACCACCTGGGTGGGGGTCTCCCAACCGAGCTTGCTCTTGGTAGTACTGTTTGTCAAGTGGGAGGAGGTAACTTCAGGGTCACAAAAAGTGTTTGCTGAAGGAATGAATGCATTGAAAGCTATTGCAACCAGCTGCTGATGCCCAGAGCTCTGGTTGTTCAAGGTGTTATGTGGGACTGAAGAAACACAGACTTTTCACCTTGATTCCCTAAAACTCCCTTTTCTTTATTCTCTAGCCACATAAAAACTCCCTGCTTTTTCTTTTTGTTAACACGGCTTTCAGAGATCTTGCTTTCCTACCTTGCTTCTTTGGCCAAATAGAACAAACCTTTCTCTATCTCCAAACTGCTGTGTGTCGGTATTTGGCATCAATTCCACATGGGGTACAAGAGCCTGAATTTGGGCTTCTAGTTGAAAAGTATGACTTCCTTGAAGCCCTGGCAACAAGTAGCAGTGAGACTCCATTCGATTCAGCAAGGACAACTGCCTCAATGGTCAATGCCAACGTCTCAATGACAGCCAATCATAAACAGTCCTACACACATGCTTCCAAGTGTTGGCAATCAATAACAGCCTCATCACAGCAATCAGCTTATTACAGGTGAGGTATCAATCTCTAACACCTCTGCAAATTCACTGATCCCTGAACTCTACCTTGTCCTAAAACTCTGTAAGAGCAACAGCCTGTTCTGCTTGGAGAGACTGTGCATAGCCAGCACAGTTCTGTTACTATAGTAAGCAATACAATCAGTCATCTCGCTTCAGATTTTAGTCTTCAGAAGAACAACTCTGCCAGGGTGTTCTAGCAACTTTGAACATCTCCACAAAGGCCAAGTAGGCAAGGCTTCACAGCTCTGAATAGCCTGAAATTCCTCCCGGAGCAAGGGGAGATAATGAGCATGGTGTGGAGCCACTTTGAGGCAGGCTCTCCTCTGTCTGGTAGGAGTCTGTCACAGGCCATTTCTCATTTATCCTCCTAGTTTCAATAATGCAGAACTTTCTGCCTTGTGCCCCCACCTAAGGGTTTGGCTGCAAGCTTCTGTGAAGATCTAGAAAAATGCTTGGCAGTAGTTTAGGGCTGGTTCTTAACAGGGCAGGGACTAGGATGAGGCAAGAAAGACACCTAGTGGACAAAACTGAGGGGCACAGTAATAGGGCTGTGCAATGCTGATCCTGCCCTGCTCCTCAACAACAGAGCAACTCACCATTCCTGATAGCTGTCATCTAGTTCCTCTATTTGGTGTCATGCTGTGAGACTAGGGTTACTGGTAGCTAACTGACTGTCTTTTGCTGTGAATACAAAACTGTCTAAATCCATTTGGGCTTCTTACTTGCTGAGTCTATGGAAGTGTGACACACCAATCGAGCAGGTGCTACTATGCTACTGCTTATAGACTGTGAACCACTTGGCAGTCTCCTTATCATTGTTATGAATTGATACGTTCTTAAATTATCTTCTCATTTAATTTGTCTCAATAATTGCTACTTAAGAGGATACTGGTCCTCTGGGCTAATGCACTCCCACACTATTTTCATGTTAGTGCTTCTGCTTGTCAAATGCATTGGTTGGGCTTCGTTGTTGTCATTATGTTGCATTATATCCCTAATTCACAAAAGCAGATCAGTTCATCAGAAGCAGTTCATTAAAGCTTAAAACAAAGACAGAAGCATAGAAATGCTGTAACTTAGCATAATACCCAAAAGGCAAATGGTGAGCTGGATTTCAATGCAAGTGCTGAGCTTTTGCCTGCTAGAACATGTAAATCTATTGTCGCAGTAAGAACAGAAATGGCTATCTAAACCCAGCTTTCCCTGCAATGGTGATCAATTATTAGCCCTAGAACCCAGGGCGTTGCATGTGAAATTTCATTCAATAGTGACATGAAGCCATCAAAACTGACTTCTCTGGTAAACCAATCAGGTTTTTCTGGAACAACAAATTAATGCTTTCCAGCCTGGGTGATTAAGGACTGTTAAGGTAGCAAGAAATAAATTTGAGTCTGTTTGTTAACAAATTTTACCCTGCCCTAAATGGGCATTGGGTACACTCTTCCAGAGTGAAGTTGGCTGACATTCAAGGAAAAAAGCTACTCATATAAATGTTTGAAATGAGAGATAGGAAAAGAATAACTTCTTCACAATACCAATGTGAAAGTTGTCAGTCTCAAGATGGAGTCTCTCCTGTCAAACCCAAACAGAAAAGTCAGGTTAGAAAGGGAAAGCCCCCCTGCACACATGCTTATGGTAAGAACTATAACAGACTCTTTGAAGGTCTCTTATGCACATATGCCTGTAACAAGAACTTCTGCCAAGGACTTTCTAACCTGCGTCTTGCTTGGTGAATCACAAGGACAGCTAGCCAAATTACGCAAGAATGCTTGCCTGGCGCACCATCTACACTAATGAACTGACATCATTTTCTGTAATAAGCCACTGTAGCCAATGTTCTCTTTGTTTCAAAACAAATTATGTGTACTTCTTTTGCCTTTAGAAGTTACCCCTTGCCTCAACCTCCAGTGTTTACTATGGCACAAGTATTCTGCACTGCAATTCTTCTGCTTATTCCCAATTAAACTCAGTATTTTTAGACAGTCTCTCTGCTGATTTCTTAGGTTGACACCAAGAATATCAGTAATGATGATTTACATAATTTCAGGTAGCTTGTTCTAGTGTCAAGTGTTAAGCCTTGGAGATATACATATATTCATTACATTAATGTTTAATAGAAGCCATCAGGATTCCTAAAGAAAACCCAATTGTGGGAAAAATAACTCAATAGCGTGTTATCTTCATCAGGTTAAATAAGTCAGAGATCAATGATGTATTATTGAGCATACTTAAAGTTCACATCCATATGCTGCAACCAAATCTGAGCTGAGCGCAGCCAAAAATTGATCTGAGAATGCATTCACTGCTATTTCTCATGTTTCAGTCTCTCAGCTTTTCAGTGAACTTGGCTTATCACTTTAGGTTTGCAGGTAGTTTTTCATTACATATGTCATCTCTATCAGCTTCAGATCTGAAAATCATACAAGAAATGTCCCTTTTCAACAACATAAGCACAACTTGACTAACTATATGGAGCAAGAAGTCTAACTTTTGGCCCATCTTGGCTACCAATATGTCTTCCTCACTAAGTTTTACCATTTCTAGATTTTGGCTTAAAGTGAGAGACATGTGACTCTTCACTTCAACACTTAAGAGGCCATTGTGGGATTATTAAGTGGCCTAATTTCAATATGTTTTGTCTCAGAATAGGGAGTCCCAAGGAGAGGGACAGAGAGGGAAAAAAGGCCTGTTGATTAAACAACACACACACAATATTTATCAATTAAATTTTCTGCCTTAATGGGCATGGTTGATGGTGCCCGAAAACAATAACAACAGTAACACTAAAGATCAGTGATCACAGATCACTATAACAGACATAATAATAATGAAAAGTTTGAAATACTGCAAGAATTATCAAAACTTCACAGAGATATGCCGTTAGAAAAATGGCACCAACAGACTTGCCCTACACAAGGTTGCTTCAATTTGTTAAGAATGCAATATCTGAGAAGCACAAGAAAGTGGTGCACAATAAAATGAGGTATGTCTGTACTAAATGTGTGTCCATCCCCTCAGGGAGTGTACAGAGCGTAGCTATCAACACAAACTGCTACAGTGATTTTGCCATCTCAAGGAAAGCTGGCTGTAAGTGGAAGCAAATGCTGCTGAAGGCAGAGCAAAGACAGAAATAAATATGGGTCCTGGATTATATCATTGAGTTGCTGAGGCAACCAACCCTGATGTCTGTCATAATACTCCAGTTACAGAAGTCAAGATATCCCCTTATTGTTTAAGCCAATTTATGTTGCATTTTGTGGAAGATGCAAAGATATGCTACCCAGATTCCCTTTCAAGGAAGCACTTGCTGCCCGGCTATAGGAAATGGGGTTAGCAGACAGCCCTCGGCTATTTTAATCAGGGTCTGCTTCAGCTGCAGAAGGCCACCTTGCTTGAGATCACACCTTTCCTAGGGCAGACTGCATCTAGTATAAGAGGCTGGCCATTGTTGCCTGACAATGATACTCTTGATGGGCAATACTTACTCTAGAGTTCCCTCCCAGGATAGCTGAGGATTTGCTGAACCTGAATAGCAGTTCAACTTCTTCCTCTGAACAATCCTGCTTCCACTCCATTCCTAATAGAAATCTTTTTTCTCATCTCCACATGACTGTCTACTTCTGGAATACCCAGTCTGTGACAAGGTTTCTGTAATATCAGGCAAAAGCATCCTCAGGTTCAGTAGGCTAGTTTGAATTCAGTCTTGTCTAGAGGAAGAGAAAGGCACTCATGTTATCTTAGTTTTGACTTTGTATTATGGAAAATTTCCAGCATGCACAAAGAGAGAAGAATATAATGAAACAACAATATCAATATATGGCAAATATTTATCATCTGATACCCTCATGTATTATTTTAAAGTAAGTCCTAGACATATTATTCCATTTAAAAATACCATAGTGCACCAATGTTTGCCTTGAGATGCAATACAATGCCTTTTTCTCCATTCTCCTCCCAATCCAACTCCTTTTTCTATTGTCTCATCTTTTCTTCCTCTTCCCACCACCATAGCTTTAAAAAGAGGAAGTTTTTTAATAGGAGAAGAGGCAGGTGGACAGTAGTATGGGATAGAAGGCCCAGAACAAATACTGGAATCCTTTCATTCATTCAACAAACATTTCTGACCTATCCTCTCTCAAAGTCTTGGGACACTCAATCATCATCAGTGTAGGCAGTTGTTCAGACAGGTGGTACTGGACAATGATGTTTTTGTTTAGCCAGAAAGGAAGAAAGGAAGAGTCCCTTAACACCTGACATCTAGTGGTCACAGTGGTAAGTAATGCGCATGTTTTCTACTAGAATACAAAGTTTGTTCTATGGAACAAATAGGAAATTAAGGCCAGAGAGGTAAAGTGATTTAAGGTCGTTAATAGCAAAGCTGGGCATAGAACCAAACAAGCTGACTTTAAGATCTGTGTAGGCCAGGCGTAGTAGCCCATGCTTGTAATTCCAGCACTTTGGGAGGCCAAGGCAAGTGGATCACTTGAGGTCAGGAGTTCAAGATCAGCCTGGCCAACAGGGTGAAACCCTACCTCAACTAAAAATGCAAAAGAAAAATGAGTTGGGCATGGTAGTGGGCACCTGTAGTCCCAGCTACTTCGGGAGGCTGAGGCAGGAGAATCACTTGAACCCGGGAGGCAGAGGTTGCAGTGAGTCAAGATCATGCCATTGCACTCCAGCGTGGGTGACAAGAGCAAAACTCTGTCTAAAAAAACAAAAACAAGAACAAAAACAAACAAAATACCTGTGTAAATTGTGACTGAAACGTCAAAATGTAATTCACATGATTTTAAATTTGATTAAAGAATCATCCTGTTTTGTATTTATTTGTATTAGGTTATAGTATATTAGTGCCAAAGGAGACAAAGTGCCATTGGTTGAATGAGGGAAAAAGACGGGCCTATGAGGTAATATTAACATTGTATTGTCCATTAAAAGGTCTCATTACCAACATTTCAATACTACTAATAATAATGCCTATGCTAGCTCTGTCTATTCCTAAACAAAGGTTGAATAATTATTAGGAGAAATTGCTTCCAATTAGAGAAAACTAAATGCGGCTATGCCACAACATTGACAGTGCATTTACAGAGTCTATGTTACCATTTGAAGTTTCTTGGATCTGTTACTTATTCCTGTCCAGCCAGTTAAAATTGAAGGTAGAGCTCCTAGGAGCTATACGTGACTCTTCATTTCTGGGTAAATACAAGAAGTTTGCCAGGGGAATGGGAATATTGTGTTTCAAATGAATCCAGCAATAGCCACACCAACATTCAGATGATCATCACAATCATGCGGCATCTAGGTTACACTGCCCTTGTCTTTCCAGGACTGGGATTTTCCTAATCCTTTTCACTTGTGAGAGGAAGATATAAAAGTGAATCTACCCTTACCTTATTCACATTTTGAGGCAGATTCTGGGAATGTGAAGAGGTGGTGAGCATTTTGAGACTCTTCTTCTGGTGCTAGTATTGAAATTCATTTAATAGCCACTCCTTTGGATCCAATGTTCCTTACCTGTAACAGCAAGAGATTGACTAAGTGATTGCTTCTAACGTTCCTTTCAGTTCTGTCATTCTGTGCATTTTTTTGTGCTAAGGATAAATCTTCAGCCCAGCTGGTCCCTTCCACTTTTTCCTAGGTTGACTTCCTTCATTCCATAAATATTTATTGAGTATCTCCATGTTCTTGAGGGTAAGGCCTGGGTTTTATTCAACTTTCCCCCATTACCTCGCACCACTAAGCAGGTGATTTCCAGTAGGGTTGAAATTAGTTTCTATTTAAGATTCCAACTTTGTCTGGAGGGGCTCACAGTTCCAACGAAGATTACAGGCATCATCAATTAATTACTTAATTAAAAACTGTGTATCTGTAAAAATTTAAAGACAAAAGTGGGGGGGGGGGTATGAGGGATGGCAGGAAATCTGGTTCCAGTCGTCCTTAAGCACAGGTATGTTCCAACAGGTAGTAAGAGTGCATAATAGTGCAAAAAGTAATGGTTAACACTAATTGAATGCTTTCAATGTGCCAGTGCTTTCCATGTATTGTCTCAAGTAATACACACAATTATTCTATTTTCTATGTACTAGTATTATGTTTCACATTCGAAGTGGGCACAGAGATCCTCAGAAAATGGGATTAAATAAAAACAGAGAGAGAGATGAAGTAACATGCCCAGGTAACACTGTTAGAAGTGAGAGGCAGCATTTGAAACCAGACAACGCAACCTTACAGCCCGCAGTCCTAGCACTTCCCTAAGTAGATAAGTAAGAAAAATCACAGTAACAGTCGTGATTTCTCCAAGAGGCCAGACGAATTTGAACAGTGATGAGTCCAAGCTACAGAAGAAGCACAGGGAAGTGGCTGCCGAAGAGAAGGCTAAAGATGTTTGCAAAGAGATAATATGCACTGTTTCAGGCTAGATACACAGGCGGAGAGGCAAACCGGCGGAATAAAACCCGACAAGCAAAATCCGGAGCGCGTCAGGATGACAGGAGACCGCACAGAACAGGTCGGAAGTTACGTCACTAGCTGAGTCTGGCGCTCCCCGGGACTGCGGGGCAGGTGGGATTCCGACCGGAAGTAGCGCACAGGAAGTTACGCAATGGAGGCGGTACCTGGTTGTGGAGGGTGACGCCACGGGCGGGGCGGAGCGTCTTAGGTCAGCTGGGAGCCTCCGATCCCCGACAGGTAAACCTGCCGGCCGGATCTGAACGGTGGCGGGGGTGGAAGCTGGGGTTGATGGCCTAGGTCGCTCGGGGCCCTAAGTTCGGGTGGACAGAGGTTAGGTAATGGACAGCATTAGCATTAGGTGGTGGCTGGAGAAAAGGCTCCTTGGCATGAGACTGCTTGAGGGGCTGAGGATATGGGGAACTCTTGGGAACTTGGTCTTGGGGGCCCGAGGTCGTCGAGGAAATACAGACAAGGTTGAGTCTTCTAGGAATCAGACATGGCTGGGGATCATGGGTTTCCGATCATTGGCGCTTATGTTGGAGAGACGGAGCCTGGGACCCTGAGATGAGTTGACCTAGGGTTCACCTACCCCGACCTGTTCTGCTAATAGGGGACAGGGACCTCGACTTTTTGTCTGTTAACTCATAGCACAGTGCCTTGCCACAAGTAGGCATTCTTTAGATGCTGTCGAATGAATGAATGAATGAATGAATGAACCAACCCGATTCTGGCTCCCCGGAAGATACTCTCCCAAATTTCAGTATGTTAACCTCTGAATGTAGAAATGACTCCAGTTTACTAACCAGTGGTTTATGAGTATGCTGGTGCAGGAGATACGCAGGACGTTGTTGGGTTTTGTTAGTTTTGTTTTTTATGGTTATTGAAATTTAGAAATGTGTCTTAATATTCTTCTCCGGGTGGAGAAGATGAGTCATTTGCTTTGGCTTCTTTCAGGTTCCTTTACTTTTCTGGGAAGAACTTCTAGGGCAATGATACCAGGGAGGAGTTGGACCGTTGTAAATAAGCTGCTGTTGTAGCACTGACTGTTCTCAGTGCTTTCAGCAAAGTAAACTTACTTTCCTTTTTCTTGATGTTTTCTTCGTTATCTTATAAGTAAATGTACTACTTAACATTTGAGATGTGAGAATTATAACTCACAATAGTTATAATTGAGAATATACCTTATATTTTTTATTATAAAAATGAAAATGGTAATTTATAAACATCCAGTCAGAGATTACACCTGGTGTTTATAAATAAAGTTAACTCCTTCCAAACAGCTGTATTAATAGAGGGTCCCCAAAAGAAGATTAAGCTGTTTCTTTTGTTGGAAGTACTTGTTTAGGTATCCTAAATGTGATAAATAGTGGGGCTGGGCACAGTGGCTCACGCCTATAATCCCAGCACTTTGGGAGGCCAAGGTGGGCAGATCACTTGAGGTCAGGAGTTAGAAACCAGCCTGGCCAACATGGTGAAACCCCATCTCTGCTAAAAATATGGAAGAAATTAGCTGGGCGGGGCACGAGCCTGTAATCCCAAATACTCGGGAAGCTGAGACACGAGAATTGCTTGAACCCGGAAGGTGGAGGTTGCAAAAGCAGAGATTGTGCCACTGCACTCCAGTCTGAGCGAAAGAGTGAGATTGTCTCAAGAAATATAAATAAATAAATAAAATTTTAAAAATAAAAATTAATTTTTAAAATGTGATAAAAACTAGGCAGGTACCTACAAAACAACTACTGTGACCAGATTGGTTTTGGTTGTCAAATGGAAAAAAAGTGCAGATGAGACTGTCCTCAGGCTGTGTAATGAAATCTTGGCATGAATCACTAGTGAGGTGAAAATGTATATGGAATAGATAATGAGATAACAGCTCTGGAGAGGTTTCAGAATCTTACCATTAGATTAGGTATAGTGGGGTAGGAAACCCTGAATTTATGCCATACTGGGGTGTGTGTGTGTGTGTCTGTGTGTGTGTGTGTGTGTGTGTGTGTTTTACAAAGATGATGCTAGTAGGCGTTTTTTAGATTTAAAATCTAAGATGTTCTTAAAATAGGTTGAAAACTCCAAAAAGTTGACCTGTAAATATATTATTGCACTATTTAAATTTTAAGTTTACCTGCCCTTAAACCTTGTTTTCCCAATATCTGGAAAGTGCCCAGAATCATGCCCATTTGTGTATATTCTTACTACGGTGCCAACTTTAGAATATACGTAAAAATAAGGTACGAAGTAATGTTTTCAGGTCTTCTAGATTTATGTTAATATTATTGTCTTACTTAAAAATTAAGTCACTGGGCATGGTGGTGCAAGCCTGTAATCTCAGCACTTTGGGTGGCAGAGGCAGGCAGATCACGAGGTCAGGAGTTCAAGACCAGCCTGGCCACCACAGTGAAACCCTGTCTACTAAAAATACAAAATTAGCCGGGCATGGTGGCATGTACCTACAACCTTAGCTACTTGGGAGGCTGACACAGGAGAATCACTTGAACCTGGGAGGCAGAGATCGCAGTGAGCCCAAACCCTAGCTACTTGGGAGGCTGACACAGGAGAATCACTTGAACCTGGGAGGCGGAGATCGCAGTGAGCCCAAATCACCGCTGCACTCCAGCCAGGGCGACAGTGCGAGACTCTGTCTCAAAAAAAAAAAAAAAAAAAAATCCAGTATTATTTTGCTACCTCAGTCTCCTGTTCAGTGTGATGTCAATCTGCTGTTGTGATGTCCACTAAATTTTGCACATCTAAATCTGTGTAGTATAACTTTTATTCATAATGAGCTGCTATCTAAATGGTAACTTAGGTCTGTACATTGACATTCTTGAGGTTTTCAGTTTTGCAGAACACTGTTATCTATGGACTCTAAAATGGACTTCATTTAAAGAAACCAAGGACCATTAATGGACAAAAACATGAGTCAATATGTATTGTGGCATTCAAATCCTAGCACTTTGGGAGAGGTAAGTAGTTCACTGTTTTATGTTTGGTGAGGTGGTAGAACAATCTTAAATTTGCCTAGGAAACTATAGGATTGTAATTGAAAAGTACAGTTCTTAATCTCTTTATGTTTTAATCAAGACTTCCAAAGAGAGGTTTGTTTTGTATATATAAAGCAATTGTTCTTATTTTCCTGTAAAGTTGATCAGAAATTTAAGATTGGTAAGCTATAATTACATTGTTCCTGGAAGGTTACTGCTCTGCTTTCTTTTTTGGCAGGGAACCTCCTTTCAACACTTTACATTATGGTAGAAAATCTGTGGATACCCGGTAGAAATGAGGCCTCAAATAGTCATTTAAATCCTCTTGCATTTAAGTTTGGCTATGTAATAGTATATGTACCAAATCTACTGGTCAGTTTTATCTTGTGCCTCAAGTTTAAGCAAGAAAAAAGGCTTAAAAAGGTTTTTTTTCCTTTATCCTGCCTTATTTATGCTATTTCATTTTTTCTTTCTTCTTTTAAAAAATTTATTAGGTAGTTGATTCTCCAGGCCCTTTATCTTTCTGTCTCAAGGGGGTAAAGTTTCTTTTTTCCCATTTTACCTTTTTTTTTTTTTTTTTTTTTTTTTTTTTTTTTTTTTTTTTTTTTTTTTTTTTTTTTTTTTTTTTTTTTTTTTTNGTCAACAGGAATGTCTAGTCTCATGTCTCCATTTTGTTTTTTCTTTTTCTTTCTTTCTTTCTTTTTTTTTTTTTTTTTTTTTTTTTGAGATGGAGCACTGTGCCCAGGCTGTAGTGCAGTGGTGCAATCTCGGCTGACTGCAGTCACCACCTCCTGGGTTCAAGCAGCTCTCCTGCCTCAGCCTCCTGGGTAGCTGGGACTACAGGCATGCACCACCATGCCCAGCTAATTTTTTTTGTATTTTAAGTAGAGACAGGGTTTCACTGTATTGGCCAGGATGGTCTTGATCTCCTGACCTCATGATCTGCCAGCCTCAGCTTCCCAAAGTGCTGGGATTACAGGCGTGAGCCACTGCACCCAGCCCCATTTTACCTTTTTTAATTGATCAGTTTGTTCATTTTCAGAACATTAACTTCTAACTTTATGATACTATTTGGCACCTTTTAATCACTAAACATTAAACTTGTAGTTTTTTGCTGGTTTCCTTTGTAGATACACTGGCTTCTTGTTTAGAATTGGTTTAATTCTATAGCAGGCAGTACTTCTAGGAATTCATCTTTCAGATCTATTTGGCCTTATACACAGAAATTTGTATTCAAAGATTCTTGTCACCATATTGTTTGAAATTAAAGAAAAAACAATAGTCTAACTAGAACCTGCTAGAAATAGCCTAACTGTGTTTCAGCTGAGGTCTAGTTAAATGACTGCCTTTACACAAAGTAATACTTAGCAGCTCTTAGGACAAAGTAAGTGCAGAGATGCAGATATGGAAAAATCTCTAATATACATTGTGAACTGAGGAAACAAAAGAACTATACATATAGTATGTTTTCATTTGTGCTTATATAAAGCATACATTTATATACATACATACAAAATTTCAAACCAGTGTAAGGAATTATTGACAGATACCCCTGGGGAATGAGACTAGGGACCTAGAGTAGGAAGAAGAGACTCACATCTCATGTTTTTTCTGTATACTTTTTCTGGTAGGTTGATTTTTTTTTACTATGAGCATGTTTGTATTTTCATAATACTAAGAGGCAAACAGCAAGGTTTTAGGATAACTTTGCAATTATAAGAGCCTTTCGCTATTCCCTTATGACTTATTGTTCTTATAATACTTGCACTATTTAGAAGAAGTAGCGTTACACAAATAAGTTTTTTCAGAGCTGCAATCTGTTACAATCTATTGTAATAGATTTTAAGCCTTGACATTAGATTGCTACTATTAATAAGATCCTATGAATACTAAGTGCTTAGTCCTGCCAAATTCGATATTCATTTACAGTATATCACGTGTTGCTGACCTGACCAGGTGATATAGTGGGTGTTACTTTGTTTGCAAGCTAAATTAGTATTGTAGTGGCATAGTTCTGAACTTCTCAATATTACTGAATGAGATGAACTTTGTTTTATTTGAATTGCTATTTAGGGACTTTTAAAATAATTCTTACTATTATTTTACTTTGTTCTTGATGTTTAGAATTGGCTTAA